AATAACTGTTTGGGGAGGATGTGAGTTGGGGTCGCTTCTCTGGTTTGGGTGCAAGACTGTGAATAGCTGGCAGCTGTGCCTTCTTCACGAGCCACTCTTCCTCTGCTCTACAACCAATTCATTTTGACTTCGACATAGAAAAACACAGCCTGGAGAGGTTGCCTGCAGCTGATCATCCCTGGCACTCTATATTGTCCCCCAAATACTACCAGGAGTGATCCTGGATCACAGAGGCAGGATTAAGCCCTTAGCACCATCAGGTGTGGTCCAAACATAGAAAAACAAAATAGGGTGACTGAGGATGTCCCGCTTGCAGCTGACCCCAGATAACTATTGGCACCACAAGCCTTCTAAGCATAGCTGGGGACTGGTTGCAGCCCTTAGACTGGACGCAGCCTTTGACAATTCATAGATTGTCAAGCCCACCAGACTTGAGCTATGCCACATCCTCAGAGCCTTACACTGAACCACCAGCCAGGGTGGCACCACTTAGGAGCCCACCCCCGACTCCACAAAATAAAAACCATTGGGAAAGAAACTGAAATTCATTCCTGCTTTATCTCTTCTTGCATTCTCACATACACATCTTTTTAACTTATGGCTCCTATCCTATTATGAGTGAACACAGTGATATATTTGAACGCACAACTTTTTTGGTCAAAAATATCGTGAAGATTGGAGGGATATTATAGTATTTAGGGCACTTTCCTTGCTCAAGGCTGACTCCCCAGCTCCTTCCCTAGCCTGAACACCCATATGGTGCTCCAGCCCTTTCAGGAGTGATTCCTGAGCACAGAGCCAGAAGTAAGCCCTTAGAATTGCTGGATATGGCCCCTGTCTCAAAAAATACCAACAACCCCATTAAAAAATGGGGCAATGAAATCAACAGAAACGAACAGGAAGTTTCTCAAAGAAGAAATCTGAATGGCTAAAAGCACATGAGAAAGTGCTCTACATCATTAATCATCAGGGAGATGCATATCCAAACAGCAATGAGATATCATTTCACACCTCAGAGACTGGCCCACATGCAGAAGAACAAAAGCAACCGATGTTGGGGCAGATGTGGTGAGAAAGGGACCCTCCTTCATTGCTGGTGGGAATGCCAAATGGTTCAGCCCTTTTGGAAAACAATATAGACGATTCTCAAAAATTTAGAAATTGAGCTCCCATTTGACCCAGCAATACCACTCCTGGGAATATATCCCAGAGAGGCAAAAAATTATAGTCAAAGCAACATCTGCACTTGTTTGTTCATTGCAGCACTGTTTACAATAGCTAGAATCTGGAAAAACCTGAGTGCCTGAGAACAGATGACTGGTTAAAGAAACTTTCGTACATCTACACAATGGAGTACTATGTAGCTGCTAGAAAAGATGATCACTTGATATCCCATTACTCATTGATTTGCTCGAGCAAGCACCAGTAATGTCTCCATTTGTCCCTGTTGCGTGCTAGTGTAGCCCAATGGCGTCTGCTCGTTCTAGGAACACAAAGAGCCTCAAACCAATCATTCAGAGTCTTGACGAAGAAGTCTGACCATCTCATAGATGGGCGGCCACGCGATCTTTTGACGTCCCATGGAATTCAGTCGGTAATGGCTCCAGTCCAGCGGTCGTCTCTAAATCTCATTACATGTCCAGCTCATCTGATTTTTGACACCTTGGCAAACGAGACAGCATCCCTGATTCTTGAGCACTGACGGAGGTCGGAACTCCGGATTCTTTCTCTCATTTGAGTGAAGCGTGATACTCCAAGCATAGCTCTTTCAATTCCTCTTTAAGAGACCTGAATAGTGCTCTCATCCTGTTTTCACAGGGTCCAGGTCTCTGAGGCGTATGTTAATGCAGGAAAAACAGTGGAATCAAAGAGATGTGCTCGGAGCTGGAGGTTCTTTGTCCTCTTAGCTATTACTTCAATGCTTTTGAAGGCGTTCCAAGCTGCTCTCTTCCTCCTGTGCAACTCAGGTGCCAGGTCATTCATCATGTTGACTTCTCGACCTAGGTACACATAACTGTTGCATTCGGAGATGGTCGTTCTGTTGAGAGCGAATGAACATCAGGAACAAGACTGTTTCTCATGAACATTGTCTTTGTGAGATTCAGCTGTAATCCGACCTTTCCACACTCATGGTCGAAGTCAGTCAGCATTTGTGCCGCTTGGCTAATGTTTGGTGTTATTAGAACGATGTCGTCAGCAAAGCAGAGGTGGTGTGGTTGCCAACCATCTATCTTCACTCCCATTCCTTCCCATTTCAGTTGTCACATGACATTCTCAAGGGTGGCATTGAAGAGTTTTGGTGAAATAGTATCACCCTGCCAAACCCCTCTCTTGACATCGATGATCACTTCTTTGTAGAATGGAGAGATCCTGGTATTGAATCCATAATACAGCTCATGGAATATCCTATGTATTGAGTTTGAATGCCCTGTTTGGCTAGGGCTTTTTTTGTGGTTATCTTTCTCTTGGCCTTCCTCACACAATCATGCAGGTGCTGAACCAGTCGATCGTATTCCTCGTCAATGTTGTCAATGATGGCATCTTCCCATGTTGCCGCAACAGAGTCAAAGAGCTCCCAGTTGGTGGTCGTTCTGGGAGTTCTCTTCTTAAACTTTGCAGTCCTTTCTCCCCGCTCTGTGAAGTAGAATTTTGCACGAAGGAGATGGTGGTCCGATCCCATTTGGAATTTTGGGACAACAGCGACATCGGTCAGGCAAAACCGTCAATTGAATATGATGTGGTCAATTTAATTGTGGAACCGTCCACCAGGAGACTCCCATGTCCAACGTTTAGATCGGCCTTCTGGAACTGTGAGTTACCATGAATGGTCTTGGTCGACATGATGAACTCAGACAGTCTGTCACCCTGTTTGTTCCATTCTAGGCCATGGGTCCCGATATGGAGTTCTCCAGCTGATCTTTTATCTTGGCATTAAAATCACCGAGAATGATCTTGTAGAAGGTGTGGTCTTCTTTATAGAACTTCTCCAGCTCCATATAGAACTTCTCAGTTTCTCCTTCATCATAATGGATGTTGGTGCGTAGACAACGAAGATAGAAACTGCCGGCAGTGAGCCACATCTAATCAAGTGTAATCGTCCGATTTGGGTTGTTAGGCATTCTAATGAATCAATGTCCATGGCTAAGTTCGTGTTGACAAGGACCCCGACATCACCGATGCCTCTTTTGTCGCATGTTCCGAGGAACAGTCCTTCTCCAGTGTCGAAAACGGCGTGATGTGATTAATGCCTTCTCATCTTGGTCAGACCAATGATGTCGTACTTGATCTTTCATGCTTGTACCATCAGGTCCTCGATGGATGCATCTGATGCCAGCATATGTGCATTGAAAATACAGACAGTCATTTTTGTCTTTCTTTGTTTTGGCAGCCTAGTTTCGGCTTTGAGATTTTTTCAGCCTCTCCTCCCACATCCTTCTCAAGGCTGCCGTATTGGTGGCTCCTTCAGGGTCAGGGAAATGAGACCCATTGTATTTACTGGATTTGGCATATCGAATACACCACGGATAGCTTGCCAGGCTCTGCCGTGCGGGTGGGATACTCTCGGTAATCTGAAAACACAAATAAACTTTACAGGTGTTCCTATTCAGGCATATGTGCTGGTATGATACCCTCAGTAGCCTGCCAGGTTCTCTGAGAGCAAGAACTAGAGAATAAGAAGTTTGGTGTTATAGTCTCTGGATCCTGGCCATTGATGGAGTTACACGGCAGTTGGTAGGTATAACTGTCTAGCTACTGGAAGATGGGGGAGCTGGGTGGAGGAGGCCCAGTCTCGAACCGAGCAGGCTTGGAGATCTCAGCCCCGGGTCCTGCACACCTGGGTTCCTCTGCCGGTTTCTTCATGTGTGAGGCTCATCCAAGCGTGTGGAGAGTGGTCTCAGCATGGCTTTGGCTGGTTCCTGGAGGTCTTCAGCTGTCAGGGCTCTGCTCTGAGCAGAGAGGGAAATTCAACCCGCTTTCCTCCAAGGGGCCCTGGTGAGGACAGCCAGGCACGGGGGCAGGAGATTCTGCTTTGTTCTCTTCCGGGAGGTTGGTGTTATAGTCTCTGGATCCTGGCCATTGACAGGGTTACACGGCAGTTAGAAAAGATGAAGTCATGAAATTTACATACAAGTGGTACTACATGGAAAGTATCATGCTAAGAGAAATGAATCAGAAAGAAAGGGACATACATAGAAAGATTGCATTCATCTGGGTAACATAAAGTAACAAAATAGGAGACTAACACGCAAGAATAGCCGAGATAAGTATCAGGAGGTTTACTCCATGACTTGGAGGCCAGCCGCACATGCTAGGGGAAAAGGCAGCTCAGATAGAGAAGGGAGCACCAAATAAAGAGTGTTGGGAGTATCCTCCCAGTATGGGAGCTGCATGTTGAAAGTAGACTATAGACTGAATATGATTGCCACTCAATGCCTTTTTTGAAAACCACAGCATCCAAAAGGAGAGAAGGAACAAAAGGGAATGACCTGCCACAGAGGCCGGGTGGGTTGGGGTATGGGGGGTGGGAGGGATACTGGGATCAGTGATGGTGGAGAATGGGCACTGGTGGAGGGATGGGTACTTGATCATTGTATAACTGAAACCCAAGCACAAAAATCTGTAAGTCTACAACTGTACCTCATGGTATTTCACTAATAAAAATTTTAAAAAATACCAACATACTGGGGCAGAGGATGTGGTAAAACTGATAGAACAGGTCCCCGAGCCGCAAGCCTGGGACGACTTCGGAATAGCCAGGGATGCGCAGGGATGCGCAGGGGCCCTCGGAAAACCGCATCACAGAGGATACGCAGACCCGACCGGCCCGCCTGCAGTCCGCTACTGGGGAGCATCTAGGAGGGACCCGGCCTCCACCCCGGGCGCCTCACCTCACCCCACCCGCGCAGGCCCGCCTCGTGCACGCCCGCCCCGCGTCAGCCAATGAGCGCGGCCCGCGAGGCCGCGCCCCCTGCGCCCGGCTCATAAAAGCCGCTCGCGCTGCCGCTTGCACATTCTGGTCGCAAAGCAGACTCAGAAGAAACCCACCATGGTGCTCTCCGCCAACGACAAGGCCAACATCAAGGCCGCCTGGGACAAGGTCGGCGGCCAGGCCGGCAACTACGGCGCAGAGGCCCTGGAGAGGTGAGGACCCCGCCGGGGTGGGGGCCCACGCACCGCCTTGGGCCGGCCCATCGCACCCACCTGCCCCGCTTTCCTCCCCGCAGGACCTTCGCGTCTTTCCCCACCACCAAGACCTACTTCCCCCACTTCGACCTGAGCCCTGGCTCCGCCCAGGTGAAAGGCCACGGCAAGAAGGTGGCCGATGCGCTGACCAAAGCCGTGGGCAGCCTGGACGACCTGCCCGGCGCGCTGTCCGCGCTGAGCGACCTGCACGCTCACAAGCTGCGTGTGGACCCTGTCAACTTCAAGGTGGGCGTGCTGGCCGGCGGGGGGGCCGGAGTACGGGCGGGGCAGGGGCACAGGGGGTCCCGGAAGCGAGGACCTGGCGCTGGGTCGGCACTCTCCGCTGACCCCACTCCTCCCCTCCACGCAGCTCCTGAGCCACTCCCTGCTGGTGACCCTGGCCAGCCACCACCCTGCGGATTTCACTCCTGCCGTCCACGCCTCCCTGGACAAGTTCTTGGCCACCGTGAGCACCGTGCTGACCTCCAAGTACCGTTAAGCTGGAGCCAGCTACCCGTGCCCCTGCCGCGGGCCTCCCTCACTTCCTGAGTCTGAATAAAGCCTGATTTGGCTGCAGTGTGTGTGTGTGCCTGACTTCTCTGAGGTAGAACGGGGGTGTGGGGTGGGGCTGGTTCTGCTGGCTCTAGGGCTCAACAGGGATCCTTTCCAGCATGAACAGAGGGAAGGGGGAGTGGGCGGATGAGACAGTCTCCTCTCACTACAGCCACTGCTTAGGAACAGCAGGCAGACACCCACCACAGGAAATTAGTGACCCTGGCCATAGCTCTGGGAAGGGACAGACTACTTCTAGCTGACAGTTAGGGGACCCTCTTCTGAAGTTTCTCTGACTAGAACAGGCCGATCCTCGAAGCAATCCAGTGCAGATTAATCCAGGCAGCAGAGATTGCCAAGGGTTGGAGAGTCTCACACGCAGGAAGCTTGGTCCCTGTAGCCCTAAAAGCAATCTCAGTACAACATCCCAGTACCATTGGTGTGGCCTCCCAAATAACCACAAATTAACAAGAATACGGGGGGAGGAAGGAAAACAGGAAAGCCGAACAGACCACAGAGCCCTCTCTGAGTCCCTCTCCTTTTACATTTGGCCAAACCCTGAGGTCCTAGGGGTTACTCCTGTTTCTGCACTCAGGAATCACTACTGGTGGTGCTTGGGGGACCATATAGGATTCCAGGGCTCTAACCCAGGTCGACGGCATTTAAGGCAAGTGCCTTCCCCATTTACTACTGCTCCAGCCCCATGAGCCCTCACCGTTCGAGAATGAAGTGGGGAGCAGGCCCCAAGCCCCAGCTTTCCCTGGGGACCCAGCTTTCAGCTAGAAGGTGAGGAAGGGCAGAGGCCAGCATGTTGGAGGTGGCCTAGTTCCCACAACACATCCTGATCATGTGTCTGCACCTCATTTCCCCCCAGCCAACCTCCCAGTACTCCCATGGGATGAGCAGGTGACTCACACTTAGATCCCAAGGACAATCGTCTCTAGGGCAGTAAATAACATTTGGGGGGAGGATGTGAGTTGGGGGGTCGTTCCTCTGGTTTGGGTGCAAGACTTGAATAGCTGCCAGCTGTGCCTTCTTCATGAGCCACTTTTCCTCTGCTCTACAACCAATTCACTTTAACTCCGAAATAGAAAAACACAGCCTGGATAGTTGCCCGCAGCTGACCATGCCTGGCACTCCATATGGTCCTCTGAATACTACCAGGAGTGATCCCGGAGCACAGAGGCAGGATTAAGCCCTGAGCTCCATCAGGTGTGGTCCAAACATAGAAAAACACAAGAGGGTTAGGGAGCATATCCTGCTTGCAGCTGACCCCAGATAACTATTGGCACCACAAGCCCCCTAAGCATAGCTGGGGACTGGATGCAGCCTTTAGACTGGACGCAGTCTTTGACATTCCACAGAGCCTTACACTGAACCACCAGCCAGGGTGGCAGTACTTGGGTGCTCATCCCCGACTCCACAAAATAAAAACCATTGGGAAAGAAACTGAAATTTATGCCTGCTTTATCTCTCCTTTCACTCTCACATACACATCTTTTTAACTTATTGGCTCCTATCCTGTGCTGGGTGAACACAGTGATATCTCTGACCACACAACTTTTTTGGCCAAAAATATCATGAGGACTGGACGATAGCATAGTGTGTAGGGCGCTTGCCTTGCTCAAGGCTGACTCCCAGGCTCCTTCCCTAGCCTGAACACCCATATGGTGCTCCAGTTCCTTTAGGCGTGATTCCTGAGCACAGAGCCAGAAGTAAGCCCTTAGAATTGCTGGATCTGGTCCCTGTCTCAAAAAATACCAACATACTGGGGCAGAGGACGTGGTAAAACTGATAGAACATGTATTTTTATATGTTCAAGATCCTTGGTTTGATTCTTGGCCCTACATATCCCCCAGAATGCTGACTGTGACACCCCACAACATTAAATAAATAATTTAAAAATATATATACAGCATCATACCACCCGGCCTGACACACCCCTGAGTGTGGTACCAGCTTAGCACTGCTGCCCCGCCCTGGCCCTGTGCCTGACTGAGCCTGGGGGTGCCTCCCATCACCACTGGGTGTGTGATCCCTTCAAAAAAATATCATCAAACCAGCAATATTTGCCTGAAGCCCAAACTCTTATGGAACGACCTCCTTATTCTCGTCCAGCCAGTTCAATCCAGTTGCTTTCATTTCACAGACTGTCATATCTTTATTTCTGTTATTTTACTATTTGTTACCTGTTATTATTTTCATAACTCATTTGTCTTTTCCTTCTACACATGTCAAAACTCTTCCCATACCAATAATGCGAAGCATAAAGGCTGGAGAGATGGCCCAAGTGGTGGGGGACATGCCATTATGTGGAAGGCACCATGTGCGCCCCAGTGCCAATGGAAGTGACCTCTGAGCTCCAAAGACACCCACAAGCATAGTGCCCCTTGTTCCCTGGGCACCACTGAATGTGACCCCTAGAGAAATAATGTGCACCTTGGCTGAGGTGTGTTCCCCAGTGTGACTTCAAAAGGATCAGGGGCCAAGGCACTGGCGCATGATGCAGCAGGAGGGTTGTCCGACCTGAGGTGTCTTGTGCCTCAAGAACCCAGGTGTTCGTTGCTCTTTTCCTTCAGAGTCAGATGGGGTCTGAGGCTCAGGACAGGCTCAGGAAAGGAGCTGAGTTGGAGGGCAGCAGAACTTATGAGAATGCCCGGGTAGAGAGAAGCCCCGAGGCAGAGCCAGGGAGACAGGACAGAGCCTTGACCTGTCCTGGTGCTTCTCTGTCTGGGTCACTGGGTCACCTTTAGAGTCACTCCCTCCAGACATAGGGGTCATGGCTGGAGAAGATTCAGAAGATGAAAGGGGGGAATTGAAGGATGCTGTTCCCCCCCCTTCCTCTCTCTATTTTTTTTGGGGGGTCACACTTGGTAATGCTCAGAGGTTACTCCTGGCTCTGACCTCAGGAATCACTCCTGGCAGATGTGGGGAACCATATGGGATTCCTGGGATCAAACCGGGGGTAACTGTGTGCAAGGCAAGAGCCCTACCTGCTTCACTATGGTTCCAGCCCCATCTTTCTCTTTAGTCTCAAGAAAGGACACATCATTCCCTGGTTCCTTTGCTCCCCAAATTCTAATGTCCCGCCCTGTCAGTCCTCTCTTCACCCCACTTGTTACCAGTAAGGGATCTGTGCCAGTGGAATTACAGCCCCTTCCCATTCTTGGCCTCACTCTCTGTCCCTCCCCTGAAAGCGCCCGAATGCACCCCTGGCCTTTCTGGGCCTGGGACTCCTTGCGGGATGGTTTATACTTCTGCCCCTAACACAGAGGCACAGGGATCCTGCCGCGGTGCTCGCTAGCTGTTGCCCTGGGACAACTACGGGAGCCCGGGTTGTGTGTGTGAACCCCAGGCCCTGGGGGGAGGTAGAGTGGAGCGCTCACACCCTCCGAAACAGGCGTCCCTGGGCTGGGCAGTCCGGGGCGGCCCTGGTGAAGGAGCCACAGCCCAAGCCAGTCCCGCTAACTCCCCTCCTGGGATCGGTCACGGTCTGGCTCTGGGGGTGGGAGCGCCAGGGGAAGCTGGCCCTGGAGGGCTGCGGTTGGGAGTCTGGGAGGGACAGGGGGACGCGGCCCTTTCGCTTTGCCCTGAAGTCGGCCTTGCTTTCCAGCACAGTCACGGCTCCTGCCTGGGTTCTGCCCAAGGCCAACAGGTCCCCGAGCCGCAAGCCTGGGTGCGCGGCGGGCGCCTCCGGAACGGCCGGGGATGCGCAGGGGCCCTCGGGGAACACAGGCCCTCGTATCACAGAGTATACGCCGACCCGACCGCCGCCCCCTCCCCCTCCCCCCGTAGCCAGCTTAGTGGGGTGCATCTCGAGGGACTCAGCCTCCGCCCCGAGCGCCCCACCTCACCCTCGCACGCCCGCCCCGCGCCAGCCAATGAGCGCGGCCCGCGAGGCCGCGCCCCCTGCGCCCGGCTCATAAAAGCCGCTCGCGCAGCCGCTTGCACATTCTGGTCGCAAAGCAGACTCAGAAGAAACCCACCATGGTGCTCTCCGCCAACGACAAGGCCAACATCAAGGCCGCCTGGGACAAGGTCGGCGGCCAGGCCGGCAACTACGGCGCAGAGGCCCTGGAGAGGTGAGGACCCCGCCGGGGTGGGGGCCCACGCACCGCCTTGGGCCGGCCCATCTCACCCACCTGCCCCGCTTTCCTCCCCGCAGGACCTTCGCGTCTTTCCCCACCACCAAGACCTACTTCCCCCACTTCGACCTGAGCCCTGGCTCCGCCCAGGTGAAAGGCCACGGCAAGAAGGTGGCCGATGCGCTGACCAAAGCCGTGGGCAGCCTGGACGACCTGCCCGGCGCGCTGTCCGCGCTGAGCGACCTGCACGCTCACAAGCTGCGTGTGGACCCTGTCAACTTCAAGGTGGGCGTGCTGCCCGGCGGGGGGGCCGGAGTGCGGGCGGGGCAGGGGCACAGGGGGTTCCGGAAGCGAGGACCTGGCGCTGGGTCGGCACTCTCCGCTGACCCCACTCCTCCCCTCCACGCAGCTCCTGAGCCACTGCCTGCTGGTGACCCTGGCCAGCCACCACCCTGCGGATTTCACTCCTGCCGTCCACGCCTCCCTGGACAAGTTCTTGGCCACCGTGAGCACCGTGCTGACCTCCAAGTACCGTTAAGCTGGAGCCGGCTATCGTGCCCCTGCCCGGGGCCTCCCTCATTTCCTGAGTCTGAATAAAGCCTGATTTGGCTGCAGTGTGTGTGTGTGCCTGGCTTCTCTGGGGTCGATTGGGGGTCGTGGGGTGGGGCCGGTTCTCCTGGCCTCTAGGGTCAGACAGGGACCCTTTCCAGAGGGAGCAGAGGATAGGGGGAGTGGGCGGATGAGACAGTCTCATTACCTGCCCCTTTGCGCCCTTGCCCCTTCACACTTGCCCTTTTGGGCTCACGCTGTACACCCTTGCACTAAAAGTGCCAGTCTCCAGCCCATGAGAGGGGCAATGTGGTGGTTCCTCCTGGGCGAATCCGGCTCAGCACCTCTGTATCTAGAGGCAGAGATACACTGGAAATCTAGATGAAATGAGGGGCCTGTTGGCAGTGCCTGCAGATGCTAGGCAATTTCTTTCCAGAGCCCCTTCCACCTGGTATCACCTTTGGAATGCTCTCTGCGGACATGGTATTTGGGGCCATCACAGTCAGTCCTCGAGCAGGGGTCTGAGCCCAGCTTGCATAGCCTTGCCCTGTGGTGGGCTCTCTGAGACACAGAATACACCTCGGCCAGTAGTATGGGATCTGAGGTGCTTCCTCCCCCAGAGATGCTAAACCCAGTCCAGAGTCCCTGAGAGCAAGTGTCTCTTCTTCCTTGGCCCCAAATGTCCTTGGATAATTGGGAGTCAGTCCCCCACCTCTGGCTTTGAGGCTTTCCAAACAGTAGTTGACTCAGCAAAAGTGCTCAGGGAGAACCACCTGGTTTCACTACTAGGAGAAATGGAGCTCGGACTAACAATGAATCAACTTGAATCTCTATATGTGGTTGAAAGCACAAATATGGTCTCAATAAAATATGACTCAGTTCTAAAAAGCAATGAAATATTGACATAAGCTACGAGATCAAGTCCTTGAAGACAAATGTCCAAAAAAAAATCAATAAACAAAAAATAAAACACAATGACTCGGGAGAGACATTACAGGAGTTAAAATGCTTGCCTTGCATATTGGTCCTGAATGTGGATCACCACCTATGGTCCCTGAACGCAAAACGGAGAGAAGTCCATAGGGACCTCTGGGTGTGGCCCAAGAACCCAAAACAGAATGAAAACAGAAGTCCACATAGTAAATTCAGATAGCAAATTCTGCTATATCGATTTTAGCACATTTTTTAAAAGATGTGAGTGGTGTGGAAGGAGTTCTGAGAGGTTTCAGCTATGCTGCAGCGGGTATGTCCAAGGCACTCAGTGTCTGTTGTCCAAAAAGAACATCTGCTTCTGAAGCCGGAGCGATAGCACAGCGGGTAGGTCGTTTGCCTTGCGCGAGGCCAACCCGGATTAGAATCCCAGCATCCCATATGGTCCCCTGAGCACCGCCAGGAGTAACCCCTGAGCTTCGCCGGGAGTGGCCCAAAAACAAAACAAAACAGAACATCTGCTTCTTTCTTAGTTTTTGAGCCACACTCGGAGGTGCTAGGGGCTGATTCCTGGCTCACTCTTGGAGGTGCTGAGGACCAAACCCGCGTGGGCCACATGCAACCAAGGGTCCTTCCCCCTGTAATATCGCTCTGGCCCCCAAAACACCTACTTCTCACAGGACCCTAGGCCCAAAAAAAGACTTAAGAGAGATATAAAAATTGGTATTCAATGCCCAAATCTGTGTGTGAATGCGATTATGTAATGCTAATAATACAGCGTAAACAGTTGCTTCTTCCATACAGCAGCGAAATGGGGCGTGGAGGCAGGAGCGGTTCATCCCGTCCAAGGTGGGCACGCACCAGCGGTTCATCCCGTCCAAGGTGGGCACGCACCAGCGGTTCATCCCGTCCAAGGTGGGCACGCACCAGGACCGCCTGCGCTGTTCCGGCGCCCCTTGGCGGCCGGAACAGCGCAGGCGCGGGGCGGGGCGGGGCGGGGCGCGGGACCCGGGCGCGGGACGCCGGGCTAGGACACCGGGCTCGGGACGCCGGGCGCAGGGAGCGGCGATGGCTCTGTCCGCGGCCGACCGGGCGGCGGTGCGCGCGCTGTGGAGAAAGATGGGGAGCAACCTGGGCATCTACACGACCGAGGCTCTGGAGAGGTTCGGCCCGGCCCGCGCGCGCACGACCCCAGCCCGCGCCCCTCCCTAGGCCCCGCCCGCGGACGCCCCTCACCGGCGGGCGCCCCCGCAGGTCCTTCGCGGTCTTCCCCTCCACCAAGACCTACTTCCAGCACCTGGACCTGAGCCCCGGCTCCGCGCAGGTGAAATCCCACGGCAAGAAGGTGGCGGACGCGCTGACCGAGGCCGTGGGCAGCTTGGACGATCTGCCCGGCGCGCTGTCCGCGCTGGGCGACCTGCACGCGCACCGGCTGCGTGTGGACCCCACCAACTTCCAGGTGGGCGCGGGGCGCGGGGCGCGGGGCGCCCCCGGTCGCCGGGGCCCTTGGGGGGCGGCGCTCGCGAAGGCTCCTCTCCCCGCAGCTCCTGGGCCACTGCCTGCTGGTCACCCTGGCCCGGCACTACCCCGGCGACTTCGGCCCCGCCATGCACGCCTCGCTCGACAGGTTCCTGCGCTGCGTGTTCGCGGCGCTGCTCGCGCGCTACCGCTGAATAAAGACGCCGATGTGCCGCCTGCCCGTCTGTGCCGCGGGGTGCCGGGCGGCGGGGCGGACCCCGGGGGCGGCGGGCGGCGGGGCGAGGCGGACCCCGGGGGCGGCGGGCGGCGGGGCGGGCCAGGCGGACCCCGGGGGGCGCCGGGCGGAGGACAGTCGGCAGCGCCCCCTCGCGGCGGGGCGGGGCCCTGCAGGCTCTGTTTGTCCAGGCCAAGGCTGGCGATGCGCTGGGGGCTTCCTCCAGGCCCTGCGCCCAGGAATCACTCTGGGGGCTTGGGAGACCCCGTGGGGAGCCCGGAATCGAACCCAGGTCAGCAGCGTGAAAGGCAAGTGCTCTACCCGCTGTACTCCGTCTCCGACACGTTTACTTTTCCGTGGGGAGGCGCACACTCAGCCGCGCTCAGGCCTTATACCGGGCTCCTGGTTCAGGGGTCACTTCCTGAGTGGGCTCTGGGACGATACGAGGTACCGAGTGGTGCCTGGGTCAGCTGCATACAAACCAAACGCCCTCCCCATAGCACTCGCTCCCTGACCCCAGGGTACTTCGTCTGGTGTCTGCGTGATGAGAAGTTCACTCAAGACCCAACCAACCATGCTCCTCCCCCATGTACGTCCCACTTTTCCTGAAATGGTTAAGAGTAGTGCAGTGGGTAAGGCGCTTGTTAATTCCGCCTGTTCTGCTCTGCCCCAAACCATTTTTTTAAAGGGTCCACTCTCCTTCCCTGCCCTCTTTTTTCCTTTTATTTTAGTATTATGATCATATTAGTGGGGGCGAGGAGATGCTTTTACAATAGTGGGATGGCCTGCACTTTCATGATCAGCTGTCTCCCCTGCTAGCTTTGAAGGAGCCAGCTGCTGTTACGGGCTGTCCCGTGGCAAGGGCTGATGCCTTCTGCTGTGGGCATACGAACATGCAGGAGCTTCTCCATGCAGTATGAAGACCAGAGACTGAAGAGTGAGGCTGTGAGGCTGCAGCCTGTCTCCTGACTCCTGGGACTGACAAAATTTGGGGGGGCGGGGGGGGGGGGGTTAGTGGGCACCACACCCAGTGATGCTCATGGCTACTACTAACTCTGCACTCAAGGATCACTTCTACTGGGCTCAAGGGACCAAAGCAGATACAGAGATCGTATGTACAAAATTTGTTTCAGGCAGTTCAGTTTGAGGTGATTCTCACTCATGGGCTACTGAGTCTCTGGCAGGGCAGGATGAAGCTTCCCAGGAGCAGAACACACCCTACTGACCCACAGGGGTGATGTGACCTTATAGGGAGAGGAGCAGGGCCCAGACCAGGGTAGACTAGCCTTGTGTCCAGGCATGTTTTGTGCCCATGGCCTATGCCCATGGCAAGACTCCACAAGGAGGGACAGGCAGCCAGAGGTGTCTTGAGATAAGTGATGCCCTTCTACGTTGTTATATTCTAAAGTATTATATACACAACAGTCTGTACATATTTTGTGTATAACACTGAGCATTTAGAAAATTTGTGGGGCTGGAGTGATAGCATGGTGGGTAGGGCGTTTGCCTTGCACACGGCTGACCCAGTTTCAATTCCCAGCATCCCATATGGTCCCCTGAGCACCACCAGGAGTAATTCCTGAGTGCATGAACCACAAGTAACCTCTGTGCATCGTCAGGTGTAATCCAAAAAGCAAAATAAAATAATAATTGTGTGATCTTGGGGCCAGAGCACTAGTACAGTGGGTACGGCGTCTGCCTTGCCCACAGCCAACCCAGGTTTATTCCCAGCATCCGATATGTCCTTTGAGCACCACCAGAAATAACCCCTGAGCATTGCAAGGTGTGAGCCAAAAAAGAAGAAAAAAAAAAAAAGCGGGGGCTGGAGTGATAGCACAGCGGATAGGGCGTTTGCCTTGCATGCGGCCAACCTGGGTTCGATTCCCAACATCCCATATGGTCCCCTGAGCACCACCAGGGGTAATTCCTGAGTGCAGAGCCAGGAGTAACCCCTGTGCATTGCCGGGTGTGACCTGAAAAGCAAAAAAAAAAAAAAAAGCAATTTGTGTGATCTTAAAAAGAAAAAACTTCATGTAATTCCACCCACAGACTGAACCATTGTTAGACAATGACCTGTTAACTCTAAACGAGAGGTGACAGGTCAGGTTCAACAAGCCTACGGGGAGCAGATGCAGAGGAAGCTGGGTGTGGAAAATACTCAAGAGCAAGAGCATGTGAGCCTGAATTTAGGTCACACCACAGGGCGTTTGAAGACCAGGGACAAGCCATGGGGGCAGTTGGTCCTCCACAGCTTGACTGGGCCCTCGGACACCTGGTGGCAGCCAAGTGCCTGTGCACGTGGCCATTTGCCATCATCTGAGCACTGCACCCAAGCATGAGTCCTGTGGAAGGTGGGGAGACAGGATGAAGTGTAGTGTGGGAAATCTCAGCCCTCTTCGGCACCTCAGACAGTACAGCAGTGAAGGTGCTGGCCTTGCTCAAGGTTCACTCCTGCTGAGGATCAGGGGACCGTAGTAATGCCAGGCATTACTATGGCAGAGCCTGGGTCGGCCACATGCAAGGTAAGCATCCTAGCTCTCCAGCCCCTGAACCCTGCTCCCTCTCTCCTGCCATCCCTACCGCGGTACTCAGTCCTTCAGACTAACGCCAGATCCCCTGCTCCCAGCACTGAGCCAGCTAAAGCAAGGATCATCCACAGAGCGCTGTTCAGAGATAGGTTGAGGTTGTTGGTACTGCGCTTCTACTAACAGCCCACCTCCTCCTGAGTCTTAGGCCACAGGCTGGCCAAGTCAGCACTTCTCAGTGGACCTTGTGGTTGGCCACTGAAACTGCCCATGGGCCTTCTCTGGTCCCAAGTCAGCCCACAACGGAGTGGCAGTGCGGCACCAGCCGAGTAAGGGCAGCCCTCCCCAGCAGAGAATGCTGGGCCCGACCCTCTCCCCGGGAGCCCAGTGCTCTCTGCACAGGTTGAGCTGAGCCACTTAGCCCACCCTGGAGACAGCTATCCAAGCCACTCCAGCCAGGCAAGTTCAGTGTTACAGAAGTCAAAAGCAGGTAAGTCAGGATTGGTTTCAGGCTGCGCAAACAGCAGTGCCGCGGGATCATGTGCAGCATTGCTGACTGAACCTGGCTCAGCAGTGAGCAGGGCAAGTGTCTAAAACCCTGTACTGTGTCTCTGGCCCCAAGTCAGTTTGATTTTTTGTTTTTTTTTCTTTTTAAGGCCACATCCAGTGGTCTGATGGGTTACTCCTGGTTCAGTGCTGGGGACCACATATGGTGCCAAAGATCAAAACCTGGTAGGCCCCATGCAAAGCAAACACTTTTTTTCTGGATATCTGGCTAGGGACCATACCCGGCCGTGCTCAGGGAACCCTCCTGGCAGATCCCACGTGGTACAGGGGATCAAATTCGGGTCGGCGACACGCACAGCAAGCACCTTAATCCTATATTATGCCTCTGGCCCAAGTGCAAGCATTTTAACCCTGATACTAACTTTCCAGCTCATACTATAGTTTGAGAGTAGATACTGGTGTCACCACCAGAGGAAAGCTTAAAGAACTACCCAGAACAGAGAGACAGCAGAGACCACAGAGGCAGTCAGGAGGCACTCTCCGATTTATTTATTCCTACTCAATGTAACCCCAGAATACAGGAGCAACTCTGTATGTCTCTAGAAATGCAGAGCTAGCTCCGAAACAATAGAAATTTTAAACTACAAAAGACGAGTCGCATCCAGTAAATATAAAGGAGAATGTATGAGGCCGTGTTGAACATTTATCAGACTATTTACAGCGCCAGGGTAGAGGATTCAGATCTCGCCAGCCTCCTTCTCCTCTGACCTCCGCGAAGACGTCTTCCCGTTGGAGCTCTCAAGCCTCCAGTCGGCAGTCCCACGCTCGCTCCGTCCACAGCCCCAGGGCTCCTCCCTGGAGGCCCGCTCTCTGGAGAACCTGGGGAACAGGAATCAAAGGCTGAGAAGAGGCTCCCACTCACTTATGGCTGGCTCCTAAGGGCACCGACAATTTGGACCTTCTCCTGGGCATGAAGAGAGGCCAAGAACCAAACACAGCCAAAACCCAAAGGCCACAGGGCAGTCAGGGCCCAAGTCCTGAGCACTGTCAGTGGGTGTGAGACAAAGACCAAAATCATCACCATCAAGCACACAGAAGCACCAGCTGTGGTTTCCTGAGAATGATTATAAAGGGTGACTTTTTAAATTAAAAAACAAAAACACAAAGTACTGGCCTCTCGTCTACTCTCTCAGCTCAGCAGGCCCCTGGGCCCTGGGTCTCTTTCCATCCTGATGTACGAAGCCACAACATCCAACCCCAGTCACAGGCCAGTGTGCCAAAGGCCTTGCTCTATCCCTACCAGGTATGGCCAAAGGGCCCCGCTGACTCCCCCAGCAGACCCTGGGAACACAAAGAGAAGGGGCTCACTCCTGGTTGCAGCTACTGAAGGAGTCAGAGTAGTTACTTGTATTTCGCACTCCGGTCCCTGGAGGCCCGGCGGTGGCCCCTGCTGTGGCTACGGGAACGGCTTCGGTGGCGCCGGTGTCTGTCTCGAGACCGAGACCGGGAGGACTTCCGTCGCTCTCTGGAGGCAGACCTGGATCGTCTCCGACGTCTCTCCCTGGAACGTGACCTGCATTCAACAAAGAAGCAGGAGGGAGTCTCTGGTTTAGAGCCAAACTGGATGGTTCTCTCAGCCAGATCTGCTCCGTGCTCAACAGTCACCTCCAGTGCCCCACACACTTACGTCTCGGACGCACAATTATTCCCTGGTTAAATCATTAGCCAAAGAGAACTGTGGCTAGACCCAAATTCCCACCAATAAACCCCTGGAACATCTTGCCAGGAAGCCTCTGCTAGCCCTGTGGCACCAAATTCAGAAGCACCCTGTGACCCACGCTCTCACTGCTGCACAACAACCCACCCTACAACAGGGCAAGTCTTGCCCTTCCAAGCCGGAGGAATAGCATAGCAGTAAGACGCCTGTCTTGCATGCAGCAGACCCGGG